CGCAATCGCATGCGCATGATGGACACCATGTTGTCCGTTATTGCGTCCTCGTATGGGTCCCAATGAGCACTCCGCCACTCGCCTTCCACTTCTGCAATTAATGGGCAACCGAGGTTGTGGGGGGGGGGGGACCAGGACCAAGGTCGATTAGGCGCGAGATAATACGGCACGCTTTGTGGGGCAAACTATGTCGCTTGTCTTCTACCGCCGTCGCGCCTCTCCGCACTCCCGGGGTTGTTTTGTTTTGTTTTGTTTTTTTTTTTTTCAAAACACTTCGCTTGAGCAACCCTCAGCTTTGACACTCTTGCATTTTTTTTTTTTTTTTTTTGGATTGCCTTGCAACGAGATTGGCGCATTGGGGAGGAACCGAGGGAAGAAGAAGAGGGGGGAGAAAGAGGAGGAGGGACGAAAGTGAGGGAGGGAGAGGAGGAGCGAGGGAGGAGAACAGAAGAGAGAGAGAGAGCAGAGAGAGAGAGAGATGCAGAGAGAGAGAGAGAGGAGAGAGAGGAGAGAGAGAGCGGAGAGAGAGGAGAGCGAGCGGTGAGAGAGAGAGATAGAGAGAGAGAGAGAGAGAGAGAGAGAGAGAGAGCGAGAGAGAGAGAGAGAGAGAGGAGAGAGAGAGAGAGAGAGAGAGAGAGCGAGAGAGAGGAAGAGAGAGAGAGAGAGAGAGAGAGAGAGAGCGAGAGAGAGAGAGAGAGGATCGAAGAGAGAGAGAGTAGATAGAGAGAAGAGAGAGCGATCGAGAGAGAGAGATAGCAGAGAGAGAGATCAGCGAGAAGAGAGAGCGAGAGAGAAGAGCTTGAGAGACGAGTCGTATCGAAAGAGATAGCTCTGTAGAGAGAGATGAGACTCGAGTAGCTAGAGAGAGCGAGATAGATGAGATAGAAGCAGAGAGCAGGCGAGCAGAGATCTAGCGAGAGAGCGAGCTAGATCTCTCTCTCTCTCTCCTCTCTCTCTCTCTCTCTCTCTCTCTCTCTCTCTCTCTCTCTCTCTCTCTCTCTCTCTCTCTCTCTCTCTCTCTCTCTCTCTCTCTCTCTCTCTCTCTCTCTCTCTCTCTCTCTCTCTCTCTCTCTCTCTCTCTCTCTCTCTCCCCTTCTTCTTTGTTTTTCTCTTGGTCCTTGCTTTGTCATTCACCCCTGGCCAATCCTTCCTCCATGGCTGCCTTCCTCAAGAGGGGGCTGGATTTTGATTGGTTGTGCCATTTGTCTTCTCTCCTCATGTTGTCTCCCTTTCTCTCTCTCCATTGTTTTTTTTTTTTTTTGTCCAATAACAAAATTCTTTTATTAATCCACACAAAGGCATACAAGCCTAGGCCTACACAATAACCAGCCCCTACGGCTGCCATCTTGCCCTGGCCCCCATGGCCTATACTACGTTCCAAGGCTCCTAACCAGCCTACGCACCACCGGTGCATCCACCTACGCCCCCCGGCATAGTGGCAAGGGGCGCCGCCCCATGGGTCCTCTCACACCACGGGTGTGGGACCTTGTGCGCCACGCCCTCCCATAGGGCAATTGTTTGCCATATGGCCGGGCTGGCCGCAACGGAAACACACCCCCTTGAAGCGGGGCTCGTGGCAGCCCGCGGGTGGCATGCCCTTGCTTTCCGGTTCACCGTCTCGAGGGGGAAGGCGGCCTCCGCGGGCGAAGCCGGTACGTGCACGCTTGAGGGCCGCCACGTCGGCTACCGCGAGCTTGTAAGAGCGGGACGTGAGCACGCTCTTGGCTTGGTACAGCTGGAACCGATCCGCCGCTTCGAAACCGGCCTCATCCGCCACCAAGAGCACCTCGAAGCGTTTGTTGATCAACGTTTCGATTTGCTCCACGTTGGAGAGCGCGCCCTCGACGTCGCCGTTTTGGAGCTTGAACTCGACGTGCCTCAGGTGAGCTTGAATTGCGGAGAACACCTCCGCCTGGTCACGCACTCCCTTGCGCATGAAGGTAGTAGCTGCGGGTGTAGGGTTAAGGGGGGGAAGGGGAGGTGCGGGTGCGAGAATGCGACGACGAGCAAGGTTGTCGGGGGCCTCACCGTCTTCATTTTCCGAGTCGTCGCTGTCGTCGGGGATACGGGCTTGGGTTGGTGCCGGAGCCGGGGCGGGAGCAGGAGCAGCGTTGTTGGTGCGAGCGATTTTGGTGGAGCGGGGGGCTGCGACGTTTTCCTTCTGCTTTTCGATTTTAGCGGAAGCGGAAATTTCTTCCGTTGATGTAGCTGCAGTCGATGGAGCGTGCTGCTGCAATAACGAGAGCAGCGCCTGCAGCTGCTGCGCAGTCAAAGGGGGGGGTGCGTTGAGCGGGGGTGACGTCAGCGGAGGGTGCCGCGCGCTGGCGTTTCTGGGTCGTGGGCCCGGATGGACCCGCGTCAGCGGCGGTCGTCGTCTTCTGCGCAGCACGCGCGTGCCTGCCAGGCACGCGCTCTTCAGCAGCAGCCACGCGCGACTGTACAACAGTCGCGCGTTCCTCAGGGGGGGTCCGAAGGGTGCCTCCGAGCAGGAGGTCGACCGCCGAGGGTCCCTCGCTTGAAATTTCTTCGGCGGGACGTTTTCCGCCGCGACGATCCGTTGTCCCGGCCGGAGTCGAGGTTTCCGCCGCGTTACCGGGGCTAGAAATATTCGAGTTGTCGCGATTAAGTGCCGGGTTGACTGGAGCCATCGCTGCGAGGTTGCGCTTAAGGATGTCGTTAAGAAGCGTTGACGGGGCAGTGAAGCGCGGAAGCGATAGAGTCTTCGCCAGTGTTGTTAGAAATAGAAGAGGAACCTAGGCTTAGGTGAAACCCTAGCCTAGGTGAGAGTTGAGAGTAACGAGATGTAAGTTGGGCAAAGGTGGGGAAGTTCACTATTGAGCAAGGTACAAATAGGAAACACAGCATGCAAAGAAGGTGTACCACCAACAGTTCATTATAATAACTACAGTAACTATCGTAAGCAGGATATAATATAACTTGACACACCCCCTTAGCCTGCTTGCGGTAGGAACTGGCGCAGTGGAAGAAGGCAAAGAGGTAAGGAAGGACGAGGAGGCGAGAGGAGAGGAGAGAAGAGGAGAGGAGGTGGGGGGCCAGTGCCGGCGGACCCGCTTACGAACCTCCTTTTACGAAGGGGAGGTGAGAGAGGAAAGGGAGAGGAGGTGGGCTAGGCGGGCTTGAGCGCGAAAGCTCATAGCGATCCCCCCCCGTTAATAACCCCCAAGTCCCGATGAGGAGAGGAGGTGGGCTAGGTGGGCATGAGCGCGCACGCTCAATGCGATCCCCCCCCGTTAATAACCCCCAAGTCCTCACCCCCCTTGTCACTCAACCCCTTGAACCTCACACCCTCTGCACCTTTCTACTTCCGCCACCCCCTCACCCTTTTCCACTTCTTCCCCCCTCTTAACCTCTCTCCTCCCCCCCCCCCCCCTCCTACAGCAACAAATGCTGCAGTGGAGAGAGGAAGAGGAAAGGGAGGGACAGCCTGCTGGAGGTTCACACCCGCCACCCCCACGTCTCCCCTCCCCCCCCCCCCCCCACGACTGAAGCCGCGGAAGGGAGGGCGGGAGGGGGGGCAGCGTGAGCAGCTGCCGGCGCTGGCGCTGGCGGCAATCGCAGCTGCTGGCGGTGGCGCTGGCGGTCCGCGCAGGCACTGGCGCTCACGGCTGGCTGCGGCGCTGGCGCTCGCGCTGGCACTGGCGCTCGCGGCTGGCCGTGGCGCTGGCGTCCGCACTGGTGAAGGCGGATCGCGGGCGACGGGGGCCGCGAGGCGACGAAACGGGGTTCGCGGACGACGGGAAGGGGTGCGCCCCGACGACGGAACGCAGGGCGCCGCGGCGACGGAACACGGGGCGCCGCGGCGACGGGAACCGGGCGCCGCGACGACGGAAAGCGGGCGCCGCGGCTACGGGAACGCGGGGCGCCGCGGCGACGGCAATTAGGCGCCACGGCGAACGGGCAGGGCAGAACGCGAGCGACGGGCGAACGGGAAAAAAAAAAATGGTGCATTTCGCGCTGTAGCATAGGCGGGCCCATATCTTACAGAAAATAAAATAGGTCCTAAGACCGTAGTGGCTCTGATAGCATGTTAGAAATAGAAGAGGAACCTAGGCTTAGGTGAAACCCTAGCCTAGGTGAGAGTTGAGAGTAACGAGATGTAAGTTGGGCAAAGGTGGGGAAGTTCACTATTGAGCAAGGTACAAATAGGAAACACAGCATGCAAAGAAGGTGTACCACCAACAGTTCATTATAATAACTACAGTAACTATCGTAAGCAGGATATAATATAACTTGACAAGTGTGGACGAGAACGAAATTAGAACTACAATTTTGAAAATGAAAACGTGGGTGGGGACGAATGTCCCCACGTCCCTCTTTTGTAGGCAAAAGAGGGTGAGTAGCGCTTCGGCGCTACCTTTGCTGTGTTGGCCACGTACCCCTTTTCACAATACAAAATTTTAGAAAGTGTTACATTTCATTACACTTTCAAAAATTATCATGACTCTCACTGTAGGTTGGGTACTATGGTACCACGGCTGTGCAACAAGTGCATCCCCCCATGTTGTGACCCAGCTGTGCAGGCCTCACCAGGCAAACTGAGGATGCTACAGTCATCCTTCATTACTCTACCCCATTCTAGCTGAACATTTTTCATTACGTTAGCGCAACATTCCAATCAATTCACCACTGCTGCTTTTGAAAGGCACTAATAATGAAATCTAGCTGGCGCCACCTAGAAGTTAAACACCCCTACCAGCCTACTGATCCTAACACGGGCACGGCATGCAACCTTGTGTTGCAAATCCATGCTCCAATCCCATCAATGAACACCCTAACCTAAAATCAAAATCTACACCATCCCAACATCCTCATGAAATCTCCATACTGTGATCCCCACAGCACCATGCATCCCATGCCTACTCTTCCCTTCTCAGCCCCTTCTATTCCCACCCACACTACTTCCTCATGCTTTCTTTTGAGCCCTACCCTAAAGCTCCACCTCGCTCCCATGCGCCTTCCCCCTCCCCTTACTAGATCTATCACGTTTCTGTTGCCCTCAGCGCCGCCCACTTGCTCCTCTCACCCATCCTCCCCCCTCTGCACCGTACCTGCACTCCCCCCGCCTCCTCTCCACCTTCCCCATCCGCGCCTCCCCACTCCCCCGCTTCCCCCGCCTCCTCAGTCGTTGCCAGCCTCTGATACGCCTTGGGGGCCTTCCCCGCCCGCTTCCCCGCCCCCCTCTCTCCGCCCTCTCCCCCCCTCCGCTGCCCAGCCACCTCCCCCGCTTCCGCCGCCCCTCCCCCGTTATTATCACGCCCGTTCGTCACAGCGCCAGCAGCGTCCCCCGTTACAGTCACGGGCCGCCCCGCCTCGTCCTCAACCTCCCATAGCCTGTCCGCGCTCGTCTCGAAGTCCGCGCGCTGCGCAAAGAAGCACCCAAAGCACGCGCCGAACACATTCGCGCGCGTCCGCGGAAGCCGTGCGCCCGCCCCCTCTCCCCCCGCGTCCAACTTCTCAGCCCCGCGCACGCCCGTCATCAGGCCGAGCCGCCACCCGCGCTTCATCCACCGCATGCGCCATAGCCGCCACATGCGGCGGCGCGGGCCGGCAGGCGGCAGATCGAGCCCGTCGTCCATCGCGCCGTCTGCTGCGGCGGCTGGCGGCTCGACCCACGAGTTGGAACGCGCGGAAGCGTACGATGACGACGGCGACGAGGGCGGCTCGGTGACTGGCTCCGACAGTGACGTCATGAGGATGCGACCCGGCGAAGCGTCGTCGGCGGCAGGAACAGCCGGAGCGGCTTCCGCCGCCTCTGCGCTCGAGTCGTCCGCGGCGCCGTTTCTCCGCGCCACTGCCGCCGCAACTGCCTCTATGACGCTTGAGGGCGGCGCATCGGACGGTACGGACGACGACCCGCTCTCGCTGCTGTTGCCGGCGCTGCTGCCGACTCCCCACGCGCCTCGGCTGAGATTGACGGCCGGCAGCCGGCCCATGGGCGCCCACACGTCGCTCTTCAGTTGAGAAGCCGCCGCCGCGGCAGCAGCCGCCGCCGATGACGCTGCAGACGACGCCGCCGCCGCAGCAGCCGCGGCAGCGACGCTGGCGTTGGGAAGGGCGGCGCGGATAGCAGCGGAAACCGACCCCGCGTCCGCGCGCCAGAGCGCGGAGGGCGTGCGGGGAAGCGGAACCTCGGAGCCGTCGAGAACGATCGGCGCGGCGGGCCCGCAATGAGCGACGAGCCATGGATGATTGATGAATTCCTCGACGCTGCTGCGACGATTCGGGTCGACGACCAGCAGACGTCGCACGAGCGACTTCGCGTCGTCGGAAATAAACGGCCACGGGCTGAACCGCATCTCGTACCGCCCCTCGCAGATCTTGCGCGCCAATCGACGGTCGTCCTTGTCCATGAACGGCAGCCCGCCCGATAGAAGCACATAAAGAATCACGCCCAGGCTCCACACGTCGGCCTTGTGATTATAACGGTCGCCCAGCACCACCTCCGGCGCCTCGTACATAAGGCTGCCCACGCACACCGTCGCGAACACGCCCGGCGGCAGTACGAGACCCAACCCGAAATCAGCAAGTTTCACCTGAATCGCCGCCATTGCCTCGCTGCGCATGTTGAGAGCCGCGCCGGCTGTCGCGCCGTCAGGGCGGTTCGGATAGTGCAGCAGGACGTTCTCGGGCTTTAAATCGCGGTGCATGACGCCGCGCGCGTGGCAGTACCGTACCGCGTCGGATAACTGGCGGAACACCCGCGCTGCCAGCGGCTCGGGCATCTTCCCCTCATGGAAAATCTTCTGGTAAAGCTCCCCACCGTTGCAATACTCCATAACCATGAAAACGTCCGACGCATCTTCATACACCCCTTCCAACCGCACTATGCCGGGATGGCCCGCAAGCGCGCGCATGAGCGCAATCTCCTGCGTGAGCACCTGGCGCTCGAGCACGCTCTTGAGGCGCGCCTTGCTCACGATCTTGCACGCGAAGCGCTGACCCGTCTGGCGGTGCGTGCACTCGACGACGACGCCGTAGCTGCCGCGGCCTATCTCCTTGCCCATGGCGTACGTTCCGTGCGGACTGGAAAGCGGTCCCGATAAACTTAAACATCGCGAGGCGGTACCGGACAATTGTACGGCTGTGACCTTGCTTGTGAAGGGGTGATTGACGAACGGATTGAGCGATGGCGTGAACGATGGAACTGGCTGCGGCCACGACATCAACAGCTGGTTACCCTCATCTTGACGAGCGAACATCGTCATCCTTGCCGTACCTGACTGGTACCTCCTCCCAGCTCCCAATAAAAGTGCCTAATAAACAAAATAGGGTTAGCTTGTGCTCGACATGCTTGTCAGTGCAATTCTACTAGTGTCGGTTCAACGGCGGAACCAAGGCAGGCCACTCACGTCATGGGGAGAGAAGGGAAATTAGCATGCCATAGTTGGTGTGCCCAGAAGACCTGTCCCTGTGTGATGTGAGAAGGGGGAGGAGAAGGTGAGTTGGAAGGAGCGCCAGCCTTGCTTCCTCTCCTCCCCTCCCCACGCCACCGCACAGGCGGAGGACGAAGTCACGGGGAGGGGCAGACAGACACACGTCGAAGCGGGAAGACGCGGGTTGGGGAACCTGCGCCGCGCCGACTACGCGGTGCTGCGTTGCGTGCGCTTGCCTCGCAACCCAAACCGGCGGACTTGGAAAAGTCCTGCCCGATTACAGAACAGGTATGAAACGAGGAGTTTCCAGTTGTACCAGGTGGAGTTCGTTTCAACCCCAACCAGCGGACTGTCCTGTCTGATTACAGAACAGGTATGAAACCCAGAACGATTTCCGCCGTTCCTTCATAGGTTCAGGAGATCGTATTTCCACGTGGTAGGTTTGCTTGCCCGCATGCGGTTTCAAACGGCGGTTTCTTGCCCGCAACCACTGTTGCGCGAAACGGAAGCTAGGGGCACCACCACCAGCGTGGCGCGGCTCGTTTGGGGCAAAATCGGGGCTAGAGTTTCCACCCAACACAGCCTACTTGCTATGTCTGGCCAATCACAGTCGACGTTCCACCTAAGCAATGGGACTGTAGAGGGGCCCTCTGATTCTATAATGGGGGTCAGGAAATTTGGAAAGGAGGGATTTGACAGACTGGCACGCCCGTGCTGCGGAACCCTGGGATTACAGTTTGCCTAACCCGTGTACACCTGTTCTCCGGTATTTCCACACCCCCTACCCTCGTTTTTGCCAGACACCCTATACGGCTTGAGGATCGATGAGACGGACACCCTGACACTACGGGTCTATCAGTAAAGAACCGTCAGCGTTCTGGCTATTCGAAACTCAAATTTGTAATCAGAGTGAGCGGGCAAAATTCTCAGTGCCTTAAAATTAGAGTGTTTAACTCTCATTGATGGGGTGTCTTATTACCCTCGAAACTCCCGAAATCATTTCTAACTACCTTCGAAATGAGACTTTTTCGAGGGTAGATACCCCAAAGCGTGAAGATAGGGGGTGTGGAATTATCGCAGGATAGGTGTAGAATCCAGTGCAGTAAATTGTTTAGTCTGACCAGGCTGCTTGCGCGGCACCGCAACACCAACTCGGGCAGGTTCGTAGCGCGTGTTCTGGTCACTTCCGCAACCGCAGTGCGAGGTAGTGGCAGGACTATTCCACCAGAAAAAAATTCCCTTTCTGTCAGTGAACGGGAAGACTCAAGTTTTAGAATTCACATTCGGCAAGCCTTTGATATATTGGTGTAGACTTTCCAAGACTCACATCGCGTCGGGTTGAATCGCGTCAAGGCTCACCACTAGGGCCTACACATATGCATGTAGGTTACCTGCCGTAACCATCTGTGTAGTAAACATCTTAAGTTAGCAGACCGAGACGGGAAACGCTTCGGTCTTTGGCGAGGATTTCTGCCCACTAATCCGCGATTGGCAACAGCACCGACACGAACAAGTCAAGCTGGTCGACAACAAAATCTAGCCTGGCGCTATCACCTGAATGCCAGGCAGGCAGCACTACAGAAGCCACCACACACCACACCCTCTGGCAGGGGCGCGACACTCTCACACTTTCTGGGGAAGCGGGGCGCCCTTGCTCCAGCTTGCAAGGCCGAGTCGCGTGCACTCAATTGGGAGAACATGACAAACAATGACTTCACATCTTCTCGATCTTACCAAACCGTTCTAAAAGCTGTCACACCATGTGGAACGCCTACCAGTTTGTGAGCAGAAACTTTGCCACTCTGGCTCACTCGCCAATATGATGTGACAGAAGTTCTCAGCAGCAACAATACTTTTCATCCTCCATTTGCCCCCCCCCGCCCCCCCGCTGAACAATTGCACTGATTCCGCACGCAGTGTCGCAACGCAAACCTGCACAGCTTCATGGTCAGTTGAGTTTACGCTGTTTGCCTTCAGGGCCAGGATCTCTAGTATCGCTCACAGGCGGCACTGATGCCGGGAGAGTTGATTACTGAACCATCCCCATTGTGCGGGATCAGGCCGACGGCCGACTTACTAGCTGAATATATATTCGTCGACGTTCTAGGGAAGGGGAAGTACGGCGTGGTGTGGAAATGCAGGGAGCGTCGCACGGGCCGCGAGTTCGCGTGCAAGCAGATCGCCTTCCGCACTCTCGATCGCCGCGCCCTGAAAGTCGCGCTTCGAGAGATCGACGTCCTTAATCGAATGCGCGGCGCGAAGCACGCAGTTTCGCTTGAATCGGTCTTCGGCGACGCGGCCTCGCTCTATTTGATCCTAGAGCTCTGTACAGGAGGGGACCTGCTATCGCGCATCGAGCGAAAAGGCCGGCTGTCTGAGCGCGAAGCGCGGCGCGTGTTCGCGTCCGTGGTTCGCGCTGTCGAAGAATGCCACATCCGCGGTATAATCCACCGCGACATAAAGCCCGAAAACATCCTCCTCTGCCCCGTATCCCCTTCCAAGGCCAAGCCCCGGCGCGATCCCCGCTCGCGGAACCTCGTCCCCGCGGAATTCGCCCCCAAACTCGCGGATTTCGGGCTGGCGCTTCCGCTGCGCGCGGACCAGCAGGTGGTGGGCTACGCGGGAAGCTTCCCCTACGAGGCGCCCGAGGTGGTCGCGCGCGCGCCGTACGACGGCGCCGCCGACGTGTGGAGTCTCGGCGTGCTGTTATTCGCCATGCTTTCGGGATCGTGGCCGGGATTCGCGGAGGGCGACGCGGACCGGCGGCTGGAGCGCGCGGTGGACTGGCGCGCGGAGAGCTGGGCGGGGGTGTCGGCGCGCGCAAAGGCGCTGATTACACAATTAATGGCGGTGGACCCAGAACAACGGCCCAGCGCGGCTCAAATACTGGAGGACGCTTGGTTTGTCGAGAAGGAATGTATGGCGGATGAAGAGGGGGTGCAGCGGCGCGGCACCACGCGGATGACACGTGGAACCAAGAGCGGCTGCCACGTGGCGCTGACCATCGACGTGGGGTACGGGTTAGAGGACGAGCAGTGCGCAGGTGGTGCGTCTTGGGAGGAAGCAGAGGATAGAACGAGGGATGGTCAGCGCGACGAGGGGGAGAGTGGGATGGTTGATGCGGACGGGTGGACGCAGGGAGATCAAGGAAACGCAGGAGAGGGGTCGGCAATGAAACTGAACGTGGATCGTGTGGCTGTGGTGCCGCCAGCTCACCACCTGGTGGCGTACAGGAGTCCACGTGGACGTGAGCAGTGTGCGTCGCCTGGAAGGAGCTGTGCCCTCATGGTGGGTGGGGGCGTGTCGCTGCTGGTGGAGCAAGGCAGTGAGTTGTGTATAGTGAACAACGAGTAATTAACAGTGGTTAGTGGGTAGTGAGTAATGAGAAGTGAGTGCAGCGCAGGGGAAGGCATGCACCACTGGAGTCATCCAGGGCAGTTGGGGTGGCTGTAAGAGCACAGCAGAGGAGGTGGAGCAGCAGCTGTGTGCCTAGATATATTGCAGTGTCCTGGTTCACACACCATTGCTGCAACATGCAGCCCAAATAAGAGCGTTTCAGCTCAAACCCCGTGGGAAGCAGGCCACAGCAGGACCTTTTGAAGCGGTTGAGTAATTGTTGTTTGTCTGAAGTTGGAGAGAATCAATCAGTTTTTGTAGCCCCTGTATGGAGTTGAGAAATTGGTGAATAACTATTCTAACCACTCTGGAGCTCTTTCAACACGATTCACTGTTTCTCTCACTGATTCTACACAATCCTACTGCACAGATGTGAGAGATGGGCGTAATGTCTGGCAGCTGAGAACGGATTGGCTTGGCAAATGGGTGAGATGATGATGACAATGGTGTTTGCAAATGGATGGCGATGGCATGCTGATGATGCTGACGTGCTGGCACGCCCAGGGCTGTAGGAGATCGCAGAATCGGCGTGGTGGGTAGATTGTTGGGTTGTATGGGCTTGATGGGTCTGAAGCGTTTGATGGTGGGATGGCATGATAATAGGCGATACGATGTAGATGTGGATGGTGGGTCCTTCACAATGCCTTTGACGCAGTGCAGGACTGGCACAGGCGATCTCCCTGCCATCCATGAGCTGTTGAAGCTACCGCCTCACAGACGCAACGTCACAGCACCTCAGATATCCAGCAGAATGCGCCGGGGGTCCTCAACAATATCTTTAATGCGGCGCAGGAAGAGCACGGCCTCTCTCCCGTCGATGAGGCGGTGGTCGTATGTGAGCGCCACATACATCATGGGGCGAGCCACTATGTCCTTACCGATAACCACTGGACGCTGCTGAATGGCATGCATGCCCAGGATGGCCGACTGGTGGGGGGTTGGGGTATGGGTAAGGAAAAGAAGGGGCAGGGAATGAGAGCAGGAAGGGCATGAGGCGGTGGTCGTATGTGAGCGCCACGTAGATCATGGGCCGCGCCACGATCTCCTTCCCCACCACGACCGGGCGCTGCTGAATGGCATGCATGCCCAGGATGGCCGACTGCAGGGGGGGTTAGGGCATGAGGCGGAAGGGAAGGGAGGGAAGGCGCGGTGGTCGTATGTGAGCGCCACGTACATCATGGGGCGAGCTACTATGTCCTTTCCGATAACCACGGGGCGCTGCTGAATGGCATGCATGCCCAGGATGGCCGACTGGCGGGGGGGGTTGGGGGAGGGGAAGGAACAGGGAGAGAAGATGAAGATGGTGGCAAGAGGGACGGTGGTGGTACAGGAGCGCCACATGCCTCTAGATGGCCCACCATCCACCACTGGGCGCTGCTGAACGGCGTGCATGCCCAGAATGGCCGACTGCAGAGGGGATGTGGGAGGAGGGGAAGGACGGGGGAGAGATGGTGACGATGCCGGCATGAGGGGTGGGTGGGGGTGGCACATGAGCGCCATGTACATGTGGGCCCAGATGCACATGAGACACCTCCACACACACCTGGAGCATCTGAGCACTCACCTGGGGTGGGTTGATGATGGGTGTGCTGATGAGGCTGCCATACACACCCTCATGAGAGATGGTGAAGGAAGGTGCATTGAGACATGTCAGCACTCACCTGGGTGTTGGGGACTTTCCAGACTATTAGACGCATCTCAAAAACTCACCTGGGGCGGGTTGATGATGGGTGTGCTGATGAGGCTCCCATACACGCCACCATTGGAGATGGTGAACGTGCCGCCCGCCATGTCATCAATGGAAATGGTGCCGTCCCGCGCCTTCTTGAAGCGTCAAAGGTCAGGACTCACCTGGGAGACCTTAAAACTCACTCGAGAGACATCCACCGCTCACCTGGGGAGGGTTGATGATGGGTGTGCTGATAAGACTGCCATACACGCCCCCATTGGAGATCGTAAACGTGCCGCCCGCCATGTCATCAATGGAAATGGTGCCGTCCCGCGCCTTCTTGCCCAGCTCCGCCACAGTGCGCTCCACGTCCACGAAGCTCATCTCCTGCACCTTGCGGATCACTGGCACCACCAGGCCCTGGGAAACAGGAGCACAGGGGTGTGCAAAGGGGGGCCGAGGGAAGGATCAAGCAGGGGACCAATAATGGACTTCTTGCCCAGCTCTGCCACAGTGCGCTCCACGTCCACGAAGCTCATCTCGTGCACCTTGCGAATGACAGGCACCACCAGGCCCTGGAGGGGTGCGGGCACACACAAGGTATGGAGGACAAGGAGTGGGCAGCACAGGGGGTAGGCGGAGAGCAGTAAGGGGACCACTGATCGCCTTCCTGCCCAGCTCAGCTACAGTGCGCTCCACGTCCACGAAGCTCATCTCCTGCACCTTGCGAATCACCGGGACCACCAGGCCCTGGGCGGAACAAGGGGGGCACACGGGGTGGGGGACGTGTAATGCGATGCTCGCCCTCCTCATCACATCCACAACCCGTGCCTTCTTGCCCAGCTGTGCCACAGTGCGCTCCACGTCCACAAAGCTCATCTCCTGCACCTTGCGAATTACTGGCACCACCAGACCCTGCAAAAGGGGGTAAGAAATGGGGAGCAAGATGTGGGCAGCACAGGGGGTAGGCGGAGAGCAGTAAGGGGACCACTGATCGCCTCCTTGCCCAGCTCAGCTACAGTGCGCTCCACGACCACGAAGCTCATCTCCTGCACCTTGCGAATGACTGGTACTACCAGGCCCTGGGGAAAAGGGAAAACAGATGCGGGCAGCACAGGGGGGGTTAGAAGGGAGAGCAGTAAGCGGACCACTAGTTGCCTTCTTGCCCAGCTCCACCACAGTGCGCTCCACATCAACGAAGCTCATCTCGTGCACCCTGTGGATCACTGGCACCACCAGACCCTGCCAAAGAGGGGGCACGATGGATCTGGATATGATTCTTGCCCAGCTCTGCCACAGTGCGCTCCACATCCACAAAGCTCATCTCGTGCACCTTGCGAATGACGGGGACCACCAGGCCCTGCCAACGAGGGGGAAAACAGATGCGGGGAGGAAACTGTGGTGAGGAATGTGTGGGGAGGAAACTGTGGGGGGGAACTGTGGGGTGGAAAATGTGAAGAGGAAACTTTGCATTCAACCGTTTTGCATTGTACACCTTGGGAGGCAACGCACCTTGGGAGTGCCGACAGCAATGCTGACGTCGATGTAGTCGCGATACACAATGTCGTCCCCATCGATCACCGCATTCACTGCTGGCTCCTGCTGCAGCGCACTGGATGCCGCCTGGCATTCATGGGCACACATACATCGACACAGAGAGACAGAGACACACACACAGAGCTCATGCACAACTACTGAGGCGCCTACAACGTCAACTCATTCTCTGCTGGCTCCTGCTGCAGCGCACTGGATGCTGCCTGCCTTGAATGCACAACATGATGAAGACGAAGAGAACAGAGCTCAATCATGCGTTCAGCATGCACCCAAAGCGTGCGTCGCATGGAGTTTCCACATGCTTAGATTTTGCTGCGGCACACTGAGGATGCAACCTGCCATGCACGCACGGCACAGTGCGCACACGCACGCACTCGGCTCGTTTACAATTTCTGGGAGACGCTTATTAACCGAGGTCTACTTGTGACAAAGGCCTAGAGTGTACCTCAATGAAGCTCTACCTCCACCAAGCTCTACCTCCACCAAGCTCTACCTCCACTTAGCTCTACCTCCACCAAGCTCTACCTCCACCAAGCTCTACCTCCACTTAGCTCTACCTCCACCAAGCTCTACCTCCACCAAGCTCTACCTCCACCAAGCTCTACCTCCACCAAGCTCTACCTCCACCAAGCTCTACCTCCACCAAGCTCTACCTCCACTTAGCTCTACCTCCACCAAGCTCTACCTCTGCCAAACGCTAGGTTGACGATACCTTGACAAACGCGGACATGAAGCCGAGCTTGATGCCGTGCTTCTCATAGAAGGCGTCCTTGAAGTCGTTGCGTAGGGCAATGAGGTTCGTCCTAGTGAGAAAGGGGGAAGTGAGGGGCATTGGGGGTGGAGATGGGGAAAGGAGGGACACGAAGCCGAGCTTGATGCCGTGCTTCTCATAAAAGGCGTCCTTGAAGTCGTTGCGCAGGGCGATGAGATTCGTCCTGGAGAGGTGAGGGGCATTGGGGATGCGAGATGGGTGCGGGACGGAAAACATCTGTTCCAGCTTGATGCCCTGCTTCTAATAGAAGGCGTCCTTGAAGTCGTTGCGTAGGGCAATGAGGTCCTGCTGGTAAGGAATGGGGCAGTGCGAGTGGGGAGGGAGTGGGGGTGGGATTGGGGGTAGGGGTGGGAGGAGAAAACGCAAAGTCCAGTTTCACGTCTTGCTGCTTCTCACAAAAGGAGTGATAGAAATAGTTGCCCAAAGCAATCAGGTTCGACCTGGAGGGTTGGTGAGGGTAGTTATATGACAAACTGCAGCTTGGGACTGCACATATGTGATGTCACCGTCCCTATTAGTGGTACAGACAGCAGGCTCATGGCACTCCCTCCCTCACATGGAGGCGGCACTCACATGTCGATCTCATTGAACGTGGTGAGCATGGCAAACGTGTTCTGCGAGTCCTTGAGGCACAAGCCCGCCCGTCACAAGTTGTACACTTCACCCACAGCCGCCTCACATGGAGGCACAGAGACACGGAGGCGGCACTCACATGTCGATCTCATTGAACGTGGTGAGCATGGCAAACGTGTTCTGCGAGTCCTTAAGGCGCTGCGCCACACGCCGCCGCAGGCGAGTCATGGGCACCTGGCGGGGGTGTACCAATATGCGTGAGCAGAGGGGAAGGGAGCAAGTTGAGAGAGTGGGTTTTGGATGAGCCTCCTCAGCGTGTTCTCTGAGCCCTTGAGACGCTGCGCCACACGCCGCCGCAGGCGAGTCATGGGCACCTGAGGGGGGAGCAAGAGGGTCAATGCGTGGATACGATGCATAGCAGCAGGAAGTGAGGGCAGAGGGGAAGGGGGGGAACGAGATGGAATTAGCTATGGATAGAGGGGTTTGTGAGTCGTTAAGGCGCTGTGCCACACGCCGCCACAGCTGCATC